TAAGCTAAAAACATACATACAAAGGGCTAAAGGTTGTGCAAAAAGGTGCACAAAATGCACCTAACACTTAGACACCAAATCCAACAAGCCTATCAATGTGCAACTTCATCTCCAAGACGTGAGCACATATAGACTTTCCATCTTTGTGTTTGCTTGCCAATAGGGCTTAAGTGACCTTGAACTTTTCAAGTTTTCGAACACGTGGGTCAGGGAGAATTATTGGAGGAGGTGGAGGAAGTGAAGTATGATTTCTATTTCCATGATCGAATCGTGGAATATCATCTTCATGTGGAAAGCCTTTATCAAAAGATTTGGGATGACCATAGTTGTCAGAACTAGACATCTACAAAAAGGGAGAAATTCAAGTTAGTTGATTCAATCCTTAATATAACACCCAAATGAAATATTAAGGCTAGGATCCAACATAATAATTTACAATTCGGAAGAGGGATGCCGTAATCCAATTGTAAACTATTTGTCGGTAGGTAAATGACGATTTACCAATTCCACCACGAAAACGAAATAAGCGAATTAGGTTTTAAATGAAACTCCTAGATCTTTTGAGATTCATTAAACTTTTCAATGGCATGTTTAATCTCGATTATGCCCTTCAAGTTTGTGATTGGGATACCGAGGATCACAAACAAGGTGTAAATAACCATGCAAATTAGCTTGGTACTCTCGAAGACGTTTATCACCTAATCAATGTGCTGGTTAACCACACACGCTCCATTGATCCATGATAATCTACGAGCTACCCATTGACCATCCTTCATTAGTCCCATATTAGTGCGCCGGTTAACCACACACGCTCCACTAACGACCAACAAGGTGCAATGTGCAATTTCATGGGTTAGCATCAAATTCACATTTTTCCTAAAGTAACTAAGATTGGGAATTTATAAAAGGTTTAGTTACTTTATATTTCATTATACTTATTAATGAGAGTTTGTGTCCTATCCTACCCGTTCGGCTAACAACCCTCTACTAGTCAAGGGTGCGGTGGGTAAGATTGGATACCCAATGACGGTCATTTTACAGGCCGCTTCCTTAAACACCCCTTATAGACCAGCTTCGTGAATGAGGCATACTAACGGTAAGACTGACTGTTTACTTATACATATATAATATATTAGACTTTTAATTTTATATAGTATAAGGGTGTATTTTACACATTTAAAATACTAAGTGGTTTAATCTATTAATAAATTAGACTAATAATTTAATTAAACTTAAACCATATCGTTATGGATTTATTAATTCTCTCTTTTAATTAAACACTTAATTAATTTAATAAAACCATAAGGGTGTAATTTGAACTATTCAAACTATCAAGGTTCTAAATTTAAGATTTCAAAATTAAAGTTATTTAATTAAATTTCAAATTACAAAACCAAGAGGTGCATTTTTGAAACTTTTTAAATTACTAGGGTTTAAGAATTTAATATTTCGAAATTAAAACTTTTAATCAAATTTTAAATTCCAAAACTTGAGGGCAAATTTTGAAACTTTTTAAAACATTTAGATCAAATTTGAAAACCAATTAAACTAATCACATGATTTATCCTTATCACATAATTTGATCTAATCTTCTAATTTTGGCAAGATAAACACAAATCAAATTTTACAAATAATTAATTTATCATATAATCTAGTAATTATCTTAAAATTTGACAATTATCCTTCAATTAGATGAGAATATCAATTACCATATCATGAAATTCGAATTTTTAACAGTTAAAACAACTTATGGTAATTATCTTAATCTAATTTTGGCAAAAAGTTTGAAATTCTGCTGTCAGAACCGACTTCACGTCGTGAAAGCTTTCGTCACGTCGTGAACCTGGTACAGAAATCGAAAATTTCCAGCTTTGAAAACTTTACTTTTGCATCATATAACAGAAAAGCTATCCTAGGCTCTGATACCACTGTTGGGTTTTGAGCACTACAACATTCCTATGGTGTACATGCAACCCTAATGCTTTGGATCTAGGTTTTTCTCAAGTTATACATGCAAATAATCATCCAAAGCATAAACCCTAAGACTAGCATACACAATTTTGAAATTTACAACTAAAAACAAGTTAGATGAATACATTTTCCTTGCAGCTAGTTGATCTTGACCTTCAAGAGCTTAGTACCCCAATTGTTGCACCTCTAATGAGTCACAAACACCAAGTAGCAATGGAGAATTATAAGAGAGAGGTTAGGGACTCCTAAAATCGGCTAGGGTTTCTTATGGGATCATAGATGCCGATTTTGAGGAGCTAGGGGTTCCTTTTATAGTTGAGGCTCTTAGGGTTTATAACTTGGAAACCCTAATTCCCTTGCTTAGGCCCTAAGCAACATATGGACTTCCATTTGACAAGCCATGGACGAAATCTGTATGGACTCTCATAGAGATTTCGTCCACCCTATACCAATGGGGTCCATGAGCCCAAATTACAACTATTACTGATTTACATAATCAATCCCCATTTATTTAATTAATCTCTTTTGATCACTAAATTAATTCCAAATTAATTTCTGATCAATACTAATTAAATAATATGACTTCTTCATTAATATATTATTCTTATAATATGTTAATAAATCACAATTAACCTCTTTCACATAATTCATCCTATCAAATTTCTATGGTGAAGGCAACCCAAAAGGACCATGCTCATAATCAAATCAAGTACATGCCAAAAATAGTTATGGGCTTAGACATCTAATCCAACAATGATAACTATGTACAGGTTCATCAAGTGTCCGTGTAGTTGAAGGAAAGAATGCTATGATGAATGTAGGGAATCAAGGTATAACTGTTGGGGGACGGAAACTGAAATTACCAAAAAAGATTAACAATGGAAAAGCAAAGGAGAATGACAACAGTGATGATGATTTTGTTGAGAGAAAAAATAATATAGATACTGAAAAGAAGGATAACAAAATGAAAAGGAAAAGGGTTGAAAAGATTGTTAAGGATAAAAAGGTTAATGTGAAAGGGAAAAAAGTAATTGGATATGAGGGTAAATGTAAAGAAGGGAAGGTAGGAACATAAGTTTAGAGGTTGAGTACTTGTATGTCTCCAAACTCATTGTATCTAGCAATTAAAAGTTTGTCAAAAAATCAACGAGAAATGGTACGCAAAATGGGTTTTTGATCTTTTATGGGTATGAAGATTGATACATTAGGTAAGCTAGCATATTTTGTTGTATATAGCTTCACAACTAGTTTGTGCTCCGTGAGGGTTAAAAGTGGTGAAGTGTCCATAACAAACGAGACGGTTGAAGCTATGTTTGGAATTTCGAATAAGGGTTTGGATTTTAAGACACTGGAAGAATGTGATAAGAATGATCCATTGCTTGAGGCTTGGAAACGAAAATATGGGAAGGGAAATTATTATAATGGAAACTATTTGAAGAATATAAGGAAAACAAGTGATGCGGATGAGATGTTTAAGTTGGATTTCTTGACTTTATTCATTAATACTTTTTGCTGAAACAGAGACGATGGGGTCTTGTAGAATTAGTTTTATTGAAAAGTTAATTAAATGCAAGGATGTGTCAAGTATTAACTGGTGTGAGTACATAGTAAACTGTTTAGAAAAAAGCAAGAATAAGTGGAGGCCAAACGACAAGAACTGCTACTTCACAGGACCTCTTGCGTTTCTAATGGTATGATCTGAAATATTAATTTCATGTGTTAAATACTGCTAACCATAAAATTCTATGTTAATGATAATTTACGTAATGTAATTATGCAGATGGCGTGTGCACACAGAGTGATATGTGAAGATGTAAATCTGCAAAGGTATAGCCCATTCATCACAGAAATTGATTTAGAGCACCTAAGAATTTTAGAGGAATATGAAGTAAGCAAGGGGATATTTGGAAATTTGTGTTTAAGGGAAAATGTCGAAGGTGTGTTTTATGATGAGATGATGATTCAAGAAATAGATCGGTTGAGGTAAGAAGATTATATAATAACTTTACTAGTAAAAGTGACTTTTTTATGTTAGTGAATGGTAGTGTAATGTATTATAAATTAGTAGACTGTTAAATTAACATTTCATTGATTTAAATTGTAGGAGAGTTGTGGAATTATTGAAAGTATGATAGGAAGGTTACTTGAGTAGAAAAAGGTTATAGAAGCAAGTAGTCTGATGTGTATAGAAATGCATCTGAATGATGATAAGATGAAGGCAGTGGTTAGGAAGGTGGTTGAAATTTTTAATGGGACAACACTAAAAGCATTAATAGGGGATGGGCATGAAGATAAAATGGATGTTGATATTATGATTGTGCATGCAAAGGAAGGAGAAAAACCAGATGATGAGATGAACCAAATGTTTACTAATTTGACCAAGAAGATGGGGAAGGATTTACTAAGTGGGTCCAAGGGTTATTCTGCAATGAATATCGATGGTACTACAAATTTAGATCTAAGAATGGAGAGAATGTCCCCAACAATCCTGAATCCAACTGGTATGTGCAATGAGAAGGTTCAGGTTGAGGAGCAGGGTGGTTCACATAAGCAGTATATGGGAATGGAAGTTGTATTGTACAATGGGAATTCTAGTTTTGATTCTCCATGTATATTAACACCTGGTTGGATAAAGCTTTTGAATTAGGTGTCTAAGCTCATAACTATAATTAGTATATACTTGAATGGATGGTAGCACAGTCCTTTTGGGTTTCCTTCAAACACTGGCAATTGAATAGGATAACTTTTAGAGAGAGAAGAATGATTTATTAATTTATTACTTGGTTAATAAATTAATTAGAAATCAAAATAAATGCTTTATTAATGTATTATGGAAATAATATATTAATTAGAAATCATATTGTTTAATTAATATTTAATGAGAAATTAATTTAGAATTAATTTTGGGGTTAAATGAATTAATTAAATGTGTAGGGACTAAAGGTGACAATGTTCAATAGTTGAGCATTGAGAAATTCTAAAAACTCCCTAAAGAGGGGGGAAAGAAATCTAGAGTGCTCCTAGGGTTTCCTTGGGCTCTAAGGCTGCCTTAGATGCCTTAGGGATGAAGTAAAGGGATTAGAGTTATCTTGGAGATACCTGTCTAATCCAATACCTTCCTAACACCTATATAAACCCTCCTTAGGGTTGAATTTCGTCTATGACTTCTTTCTAAGTGCCTTGGACGAAATTTAGGCTTCTCCTCTCTCTCTTTCTCTCTCTCTCTCTCTCTCTCTCTCTATATATATATATATATATATATATATATAT